TGAGCTTCGAGGAACCAAGCGATCCTGGATCATGTCCAATCATCAATAACCAAATCCAGCTAACCGAGTGATCCACATATGCAGAACAGACCGCCGACACCGTCGATAGTCTCGATGTTCTTCAGTCGTCTGACCTCGTAGAGCTGATGAACACCTGCTCATTACAATACCTGCTCATTAAACATCCAGAGAGAATGTGTAAACCCGCTGAGCTGAAGCCGATCACTGCTCAATAAGCAGTCAGTGCTCAGTGCTGTCATCAGGCATCACCCAGTCGTCACAGTGGACTCCCCAATGCTGTTGTGTTATAACTGTGTTTGGCCTATAACGGCATCATTAACACACCTGTGTTTGCTCCGCAGGCTCCACCGCAGGTAAGGGCCCCATGACGCCACTGCCGCTGCCGCCTCCGCAGATGCCCGTCACACAGATGCCCCTCATGCAGATGCCTCCTCCCAGCATGCACGGCAATGGCAGCGCCCATGGCACCAATCAGGTCCTGGACTACCTGGAGAACCAGATGCGGGGCATAGACGTGAACAGCCCGCTCCTGCCCCCTCCACCGCAGCATGTGCCCCAGCACGTGCCCTTCTCCGCCGGGCCACCCAGCATGCTCTCTGGGCTGGAGGATGTCCCCGCGAAGCGTCCCCGTGGCCACCCGCACGCAAACTCCAGCGGCTCCTCAGCGTACGGCCCACGCCGCGGCCCCCCCACCTCGCTGCCGCGCAGCTACAGCCAGGAGGATGTGTTGGAGGGCCGCAGGGGCGCCGGAGCTCACAGACCCCGCTCGCGCTCCAGAGACGACCTGCTGCACACCGGCCCCCAGTACAGTCCGGCCCGCCGCGGCTCCTGGAGCTCCACTGATGAGGGCAGCCGGCGCGGGCCATGGGGGGGCAGGGAGTACGAGCCCGGGAAGAAGCCAGCGAAGCGACCCGAAAGATTCTCTGTAAGAGTCTGACACATTCAGCAGCCTACTACACTAACATGCTAACGCTGCTAACAGCGCAACGCTAACAGCAGGACGCTAACAGCAGGACGCTAACCCCTCCTCATACTCACTACATAATTTACATTATCCGAAATACTGTTCGTATTCAGTTAGGAATTATTCAGTGTGTGTGTGTGTGTGTGTGTGTGTGTGTGTGTAGTTGTAGTGTAACGCTAGTGTGTGCTGTGTCCTCAGGATAAGGGCTCTCGCAGTGGAAACAGCATCATCATCTGATCTCCATCTCCTCCTCCACCCACTGGACTCCGTCTGGTCTCCATCAGCTGTTACACTGACTGCAGATCAGTGTGTGTGTGTTTCACACCGCTGTGCAGAGCAGCTTACACACTCCAGTGAATGTGAACATTAGCAAACATCCTCCGCTAACTGCTGAGGGCACTCATTTATGGGTACTTGGGTTTTAGGAATCAACTGTGTAAATATGACATGTGCTCAATATATTTATGATGAAGAGAGATTTAACAGTTCAGCTCCAGCATTTACCAGCCAGAGAGTGCACTACAGCACACTGTACACTACATAGTGCACTACACTATACAGTACACTATATAATACACTACACAGAACATACAGTACACTACATTATAATACACTATACAGTGCACTATAACAGCAGCTCGGAGCCTCTGTGATGATGGACCGCTGGGTTACTGAGCTACTGATCTGATGGAGATGCTGATTGTGTGTGTGTGTGTGTGTGTGTGTGTGTGTGTGTGTGTGTGTGTGTGTGTGTGTGTGTGTGTGTGTCTGTCGCTGTTCTTCTGTAAATAGTGTTGGAGTGTGAGTTGACCGTCTCTGTCCCGTTAGCCTGCAGGATTGTGATGTTTTTACTGTACATGATGAATATATTATTTTCCACCTGCTTCAATAAACTGTGTGTGTAAATGTGTGTGTGTGTGTGTGTGTGTGTATATGTGTGTGAGATGGTGTTTTTAGACACACTGAAGTGTATTATACTGCATATGACTTATAACTCTTGGTGAATGAACGCTCCAGCATACTGTAGTGTTTACCGGAGGGGATACCGGCTTCTGCCCGTGTGTGTGCGTCGCTGCAGCAGTTTAATGGGCATCTCGCGCTGTTTACATGTTCTGTAGTTTCTTCTTCTCGGCGTATGAAGAGCGCATGCGCAGCAGGCAGCGTTGAGTCGCGTCGCACGGCTGATGGCGTCATGACGCAGCGTCGGTTTGCCACGTCGGTCTGTAACTGCGGCGCGAGGAACTTCAGCAACTTTGTGTTTTGCGTTCTGAGGCCGTAAACAACAAACAAACAACCGAGTAAACAAACAACGAGCTCCGGCGCAGACCCGCGGGCAGAGTGAGGAGCTCCGCCGCGCAGCAGATGCAGAGAGCGGCGTGTGGAGGAGCTGATGCCCGCTGATGCTGCTCCATGATCGGTCAGAACCAGCGCTGAACACCACACACATACACACACACACACATACACACACACACACATACACACACACACACACACACACACACACACGCGAGTAGATTTCGTCCGTTATTGAGTGAGCAGCGCGGTGTTGTTTCCTGTTTGTGTGTGAACAGCGCGCTGCTGCTGCAGGTGGGTAACGGTAACGGTCTGGTCAGGGTGTACCGATCACCGGCGGTCCGTTACTCGGCTAGCGCTGGTCATGAGGGGTTCAGTTCGCGCAGTTTCTCCATCACTCTCCGGGTTTCTTCAACTTCCTCTTTTAATCATAAACTGATGATGATGAAGAGACTCTGCTCTGACCTCTGACCCCGCCGTGTGTCACTCATAGCTCAGATTTGATCAATAAAGTGTCCAGAATCCTCTAGAAGAGTTCAATATGTGCTGACTAGCATTAGAAATACTTAAAAGAATGAGAAATAAGCAGACCCAGCGTGTGTGTGTGTGTGTGTGTGTGTTCAGGCTATTGACGTCTCACACTCTTCATTTCCATGTGGTTTTTGTAAAGCAGGTAAGCAGCAGTGAGGCTGTAGAGTGTGTGTGTGTGTGTGTGTGTGTGTTAGCCTGTCCAGCGTCAGAACAGAGATCTGACACGAGTATAGCCTGATGAAGCAGCGCATGGCTTCAGTCTCACACCGCTGTGGTCATGAGTGTTCAGGTAAGAGTGTGTGTGTGTGTGTGTGTGTGATTTACTCCTCGTGTGATTTCTGCAGGAGCCTCTTAGGATGATGAAGACCGCAACTCCCATGATTCCACACTGTCATTTGCTTTGTTTGTTGTGTATATGCGGAGGAAATAACACACTGTTTAATATATATATATATATGTGTGTGTGTGTATGTGTGTGTGTGTTTGTGCAGTGTCCGCGGCGTGAGGTCGAGGGCTCCGAGATGCCCGGGGGCCGCAGGGGCCCCAGTAGACAGCAGCTGAGCCGCTCCGCGCTGCCGTCGCTGCAGACACTGGTGGGCGGCGGCCTGAGCAATGGGGCGGGGCTTCGATGCAGGTGAGCATCACTTAAGCCGCCTTTCCACTGCACACGACATCTGGACTCGACTGTCAGAACTCGCCCGCTTGTGGCGGTCGCTCAGTATTTCAGTGCTGCCGTGCTGCATGGCAGAGGAGCTGATCTCACCGTCACCCAGTGCTGGAGCAGGAGCGTCACTCTCCCCGAGCCCAGCACGGCGCAATGAACACACACACACACACACACACACACACACACACACAGACCTGCTTAGACAACACTGAGTACATCACATCCGGCCAGTCACAGCGGTCCAAACTCTTCAACAGATCCGCAGCTCAAACCAGATCAGAACACCACACAGCTCCCGGACCGCTCTCCACTCATAATGAAGAACTTCCGGCCTGACACATGTCGTGTGCAGTGAAAACAAGGCCTCTGTGTGTGTGTGTGTGTGTGTGTGTGTGTGTGTGTGTGTGTGAGTGACAATAAACACACTCTGCTGAACTGCTGCTCGCTGTCGGAGCGACTCACTTTGACTATCAGACACAGATCTGCTGTTTCCTGCTCCGCCACTGAGAGAAGCGCTGTGTGTGTGCGTGTGTGTGTGTGTGTGTGTGCGCAGGAGCAGCAGTGCGGTGGGTCTGTCAGCTCCGCCCCTCACCGCCCTCATCACCCCTGAGCCGGTCCGTCACTCCCGCATCCCGGATCTCCCTCTGGACAGTAACCTGCTGTTCGAGACGCTGCTGCTCCTCTACCTGCTGGTGGCGCTGTTGGTCCAGTACATCAACATCTACAGGACGGTGTGGTGGTCCTCCTACAGCCAGCCCACCGCCTCCACGTCACTGGTACACACACACACACACACACTATTATTACTGTACTGCGGGCCTGACCCCAGCCTCGCCTCTTCAGTGAACACAGGAGACGTCTCGCAGTATGTTCACGCTGCTCTGTGCTGTTGGCAGGGGTCTGACAGAACCGGTTCATGTGTTCACCTACTTCTGTAGCTGGACCTGTGTGTGTGTGTGTGTGTGTGTGAGCTGATGGTGTGTTTGTTTTCTGTGTAGAACTTCCACCTGATGGACGCTCACCTGGCCGTGTTCATCGCAGTGATGCTGTCCCGCAGGCTGGTGTGGACGCTGCTGTCGGAGGTGTGTGTGTGTGATGCGTGTTTCTCCTGTGTGTGTGTGTGTGTTTGTGTGCATGTGTGATGAGTGTCTCTCCTCTGTGTTCAGGTGTGTGTGGCGTGTCCCGCGTCTCCGCTGTGCTACGTGCTCCTGCTGGCGGTGCGTGTGTGTGTGTTGACGCTGTGCGGCTGGGTTCTGTGCTGGACGCTGCTCAACCTCTTCCGGAGCCACTCGGTGCTGAAGCTGCTGTTCCTGGGATACCCGTGAGTGAACACACACACACACACACACACACACACACACACACACACACACACACACACACTGCTGGAGCCGGGTTATCCATGTCTGTGTGTATTTGGCACACTGCGAGACGCTGCGGTGTGTGTGTGTGTGTGTGTGCGGTCTCTGCACGAGTTCTCCATCTTCTGTTCTGTGTCAGTGTCAGTCTGCCAACAGGAGGCGCTGTGCTCTGATCTACACACCTGTGTGTGCTGACACACTCACAACACTGCAGAGAGTAGTGTGTGTGTGTGTGTGAGAGTGTGAATGACCTGATGAATCCTCTCTCTCTCTCTCTCTCTCTCTGTGTGTGTGTGTGTGTGTGTGTGTGTGTGTGTGCAGGTTCGGTGTGTACGTGCCGCTGTGCTGCCTCCATCAGGACGGCTCTCCCGCTGCCGACTGCGGTTTTGCGGATGCGGACGGGGCCGACGGGGCGCTGCTGCGGCCGAGAGACTTCCTGACGCTGCTGCGGGAGAACCTGCGCCAGCAGCTGAGCGGCACACACACACACACGCACACACACACCTGCCCGCCCTCACCTGAGCTCATCCGCAGTGAAGTGCAGCAGCTCAAGACCGACTTCAACCGCCGCATCAAGGAGGTGCTGTTCAACTCACTGCTCAGCGCGTACTACGTGGCCTTCCTGCCGCTCTGCTTCGTCAAGGTGAACACACACACACACACACACAAACACACAATCATACGCATATACATACACACAATTATACGCATACACACACACACACAAACACACAATCATACGCATATACACACACACACACACAAACACACAATCATACGCATATACACACACACACACACACACACACAAACACAATCATACGCATATACACACACACGATGCAGGAGTCAGTCTTTAAGCAGCATTATTGTTCACTGTGTGTGTGTGTGTGTGTGTGTGTCCTGCAGAGCACTCAGTACTATGACATGCGCTGGTCCTGTGAGCACCTGATCATGGTGTGGATCAACGCGTTCGTGATGCTGATGAGTCACCTGCTGCCGCCGCATTACTGTGACCTGCTGCACCGCTGCGCCGCTCACCTGGGGAGATGGCAGAGGCTGGAGCCCGGATCCTGCAGCAACACCCCGCAGCACACGTCAGTCTCTCTCTCTCTCTCTGTGTGTGTGTGTGTGTGTGTGTGTGTGTGTGTGTGTGTGTGTGTGTGTGTGTGTGTGTGTGAGAGACAGCTCTGCGGAGTCCTTCATTGGTCAGCTGAGGTGTCACATGACTGAAGTGCATCATGAACACACACTTGTCTGCTCTGCACAGCATCTGCAGGGAGCTCTTCATCTCCTGTCTCAAACACACACACACACACACACACACACACATGAGTGGAGATGTGTGTTTCTGAAAGACAACATTAGTGTAGACAGCTTCAGTGTATGTGTGTGTCTTCATCATCAGCAGCAGAGTTGTGATGTGTGTGTGTGTGTGTGTGTGTGTGTTTCAGCTGGTCCGACAGCACCATCTGGCCGCAGGGAGTTCTGGTCCGCCACAGCCGCTGCCTGTATAAAGCCGTCGGCCCGTATAACGTGGCTCTGCCCTCCGACGTCTCGCACGCACGCTTCTACGTGAGTATCTGTGAGCTGCAGAACACACACACACACACACCAGCAGCCTGAGTTCAGACCAACACACACACACATGCAGTATGGTGTGGAGTGCTCAGCAGCTGATGGAGGCTCCGCTGTGCTGATCTCTGATCTCCGCTGTGTCGCTGCAGGATATTAATGTGTTGTGTCATTATGCTGATGCAGTGTGTGTGTGTGTGTGTGTGTGTGTGTGTGTGTGTGTGTGTGTGTGTGTGTGTGTGTGTGTGTGTGTGCAGTTCCTCTTCCACAAGCCACTGCGGCTGCTGAATGTGCTGATCGGGATCGAGTGCAGTGTGGTTGTGTATCAGCTGTACTCTCTGCTGCGCTCTGAGCGCTGGAATCACACGCTCTCGCTCGGCCTGATCCTCGTCTGCAATTATTACGTGCTCTTCAAGCTGCTGCGCGACCGGCTGGTGCTGGGCAAGGCGTACTCGCACCCGCTGGGCAGCGCCGGCCTGGGCATGAAGAGAGACTGACCCCCCCGCCGCCGCCGCTCCGTCTGTGTAGGGGACGCTTCCTCTGCGCCGCTACACCACCGCTCACCCAGAGCCAGCCAAAGACTGAATCTGACCAATCACAGAGCAGCGCTGGGCAGGGGGGCGGTCCGGCTCGCTCTGCCGCCTCTCCTGAGTGTTCCTCCAGCGTCCGCCTGCAGATTCAGACCGGCCGGACATCTCGCTCCCTACTCTGTGCCAAACCCCAGGGGCGTGGCCTCGTGTAAGGGTGGGGCTCTTTGGACTCTGGGCGGAGCCTGTGACGGTCCAGCTTACAGTATTTTACTAAACGTCTGCATTTCACACAACCAAAGGGAGGAGGAGGAGGAGTGATGAAGCAGACCTGCGGATCATCACACACACACACACACACACACACACACACACACACTGCCTTGATGCGCAGGCTCCGCCCCCTGCGCTGTGTGTTTTATACAGGACTGATTGTGCTTAATTATTAAAACTCTTTTTTTATGCTTTTCTGGGTCAAACAAGTGTTGGATCATTCTTTACAGACATGCTGCTCCAGCAGAACAACTGCGCACGCGCACACACACACACACACACACA